CTTATGCTTCTCCATATTTCTTCAGAATACTAGATTTTATCATTCTCTAATATATACAAAGATCTGGCATTTTTAACCTCATCTTCCATGCTGTTCCACAGTCTTATTCCCTGGATTAGTGGATCGCTCCTTCAGGCTCGTACGAAACCAGGGTTTCACAAACATTTCCATTCCCTTAAGATAATAACACTCACTTTTAACAAAATGTACTTGAATGTTGAAAGGTAATGAACCTTTATGAGCTCTACATTAACGGCAAAATATGGTAATCATCCAAATCATAGAATTTTAATAATTTCAATTCTTAAAACAATGTATTCGATGGATGGCTGTAATTATTTTTTACTGATAATTCTTAGAGCTCTTTTCTGTAAAATAAAAATAGGTTTTGTGATAGTTTTGCGAGCTTTACTCCAGACTGAAATGCAGTAAATGAAATGTGGAACAATGTGTAGTTATTTCAGCTGCTTCTGAACTCTTATGGGGGGGAAATAGTCAAATGTTTTCCATCAGGTGTCCTTACTAAAGCAGCCTGGGTTTGAACTTGCATCCTCAGGAACAGAACAGAAACCCGTCTACTTTACCCGTGGACTGAAATGATCCGACCAGGTCCAAGTATCACCATGTGCTGCCCAGTGACACCGCTGGTTTGTTTTGTTGTGCAGCTGATTACGGCAGAAGACATTTGGACCAGAGTCCAGCGATAACAGACTGAACAGGAACGTTAGGAGCAGTTCAGTGTTTTTGGTTGCTGGTTTTAAAGTATGGAAGCCGTTCGTCGGCAAACGTCTCAGAATGCTCAGCGTGACCCAGCTGATGCTGTAAGGACGTGTTTATAAAGATTTATGCAGGGACATCTCACATGAGGAACAAGCTGATTCATTGCTTCAATCAGACTCTTAATGTGCTCCTGTTGTGCACCTGAACCAAAGTGATCCATATTACTGATTTATTAGGAAAGATTATTTTATTTTGTTTTTACAATAGAATTTCGACAGTCTTGTCTTCCAGTAGCTAAATGTTATCAAAATAAGAAATCAACTTTTTTCTTTTTATAGATCTATAAGTATATATATAAGTATATTTCCCCCTAATACTTTTGCTTGAGTTTTTTTCTCTCCTAACAAGCCTCCTGAGCTGAGATGCATTAAATTATAGTTTTATTATCTTAATTTCAAGTGTGAATTCCATTATATTAATGATAAATATACAGTATATCTGACTGTCTGCCGAGGCACGTATGGGGAAAAAAAACATGAAGCATCCCAAGGTAATGTCAACAGAAGGTATGAAGAAATCTGTGTTAAGCTTTTTGTGCCAAAAAAAAAAGGACCAAACAGGTACTGGGGGAGGGAGGAAAAACATCTTAACAGAACAGAAAATGACTGGTAAAAATGAATTTCACTGGTAAGAAAAGTACTTAAGTAAAAAGAATAAAACCTTTTTTTTTATTTAAAGGCACAGTGTGTAGGATTTGTTGTTTTCAGCTTCATCTAGTGGTTGAGTGGTTGAATCATCCTCCCT